GTGTGTGCCTGTGTGCCTGTGTGTGAGGCCCCGTTCAGCTGTTGTCAGTTTGTCTCAACTAGCACAAACATAGAAACTGGATGAATCTGGTGCAATACCCTTGCCCAAGCGACATCCTTTTCCAAATTAGCCCTGCCAGTTTCATCCCGTGTCCATGCCTGCTTGACAAGGAATGAATGTGGAGTAGTGTGTGTGTGTGTGATATCTAGCTGAGGCATAATCATCTTGGGCACCTCTGGCACCTCAAATGGCACACGATCGCGTCGTCAATTTGTCCTTGCGCTTCTCGGGCGCGGGACTCGGCGTGGCCGGCGCCTCCTAACAGGTTGGCTTGGCTTCCAAACATCCAAACGTTTTTGGGTGAATGCAAAAGAGTTTGCTAACTGGACAGTTTGGAGCATTGCAGAAGCCAATGAAGGCTCTCCAATCTTCCACCAAATCGTCTGCTCCATCAAAGGAGAACCCACAGCACCATCCACCCAACAAATCTTGGGCGGTGACAGACCAACTATTCCAGTAAAAGCCATCTTCTACGATTTTGCACATGGCTTTTTCTGGCGCTCCCTGGCAAGGTCTGAAGGTCCATTGAACTGTGAACTGAGGTTGGAGCAAGTCTCAATTTTTCTTAATGGAATGCGGATGAGAAAACCATGTATTCTTTTGAATCTTGTCATTCAGTCCAAACATCACTGCGCAAAGATTCGGGGGATGTCCTCTTCACACCAATCTGGACTCCATGTGTATATACAGTATCTATATATATATATATATCCGCCGACACCTGCCTAGCTGACGCCTAGGCGGGGCGGCGCCGGGGACACCGCAGGGTGAAACAGTGGCCCAGGCCAAGCAGATCCAGAGCGTTTCGTCGTGGCGCCGCTGCCTTTTTCTGCCCAAGCAGATCCAGAGTGTGTCGACGGTGCCGTTTCTAGGTGTGGCCGTCGGTTGCATTCTGCCTTATAGGCACACCTCAGCTGCCAGGCAACTGGGACAGGCAACCCCATCTCGGGACTATCCTCCGCCATCTTGGGGCTGTCTTGGGGCCATCTTGTGTTATCTTGGTGCTCATTGAGGCTGAGTTGGTTATGTATGCCCAGTCCTGGCCCCCGTCTGACACAGGGAGGAATACTCCTTTGTTGCCTGCTGGCCCGCTGTTGGGCGTCAGCCCCTTAAATATATATATATATATATATATATGTATTATTGCTGAATTGATTGATGGCTTGGCCTCCACGGGGACGGCTGGGCCCTTGTCAACGATGGGCGTCTCCAAGAGAGTCGATGGCTGAGCCGGTGCAGCCCTCATTGCGCGGCTGAGTGACGTGTTTTGCCCGGGATCCGTGTCAACCAGGAGAACTGTGGGGAGAACAGTCGATCAGGACTTGGGCGGCAGAAATGCCAAGCCGGTAGCTTTGGTGGATGAAGCTTTGGAAGGGGTTCGCAACGTAAAGATGCATGACTTACATTGAGCTTGGCGGGCTCAGGCATCAATTTCATCCTGACCCAACCCTCAAGTTGCAAAGAATGAACCACTTGTCCGTATGCATCATTCATCGCAAATCTGGACCCACAAAAAAATCTCAACCACAAACCACATTGCACAAGTAACCCTTGCTTGATCGACCACACTTCCTTGTCCACTGTTCAACAGCCTGACAATAAACATGAGGTGACCCAAGGCTCCAGAGCTTCAACACCCCCACATCAATGAGCCCAGCAGCTGCTCACTCTTGGCCACAGTCTTGCTCCCTTTGCATCCCATGACGGACACGGAGGCGAAGAGTGGTGATTGGCGCGGCGATTGGTGCGTTCGGCAGCAACAGTAGAGCTTGGGAAAAGGCTGAGTCGAGGAAAGGATCAATGGGTGGCTGAGCTACAGTGAACTGCAAGTCATGAGTAAAGTTACAAGAGGAAGGTGTTTGCCATCTGCTTGTGGGTGGAATCCAAGAGTTTGGCGGTTTCTGAAATGATGAAACCCACATGGGCAGAGGGCATCCAATGAGGGGTGCAGGATTTTATCCTTCAAACCCCGCCACAGAATGCAAACGACACTCGCCATGGCCATGGTCTTGACCTATGCCGTCAAGACAGAGTGCTTGCAGCGTTTAGCCGCGAAATCAACGTGAATCAGGTGGGAGTGCAGCCCTAAAACCCCCCGGTATCTCCCAGCACATGGAGAGCAAGTAGTTGTATCTGATTGATTATTCCTAGAAAACAGAAGCGGATCTGGTAAGAAGTAGCCATGTGATACAGCCCAACCATGTGAAGGAGGCAATTGCGAAGGCCTTTGCTAAGAGGGCCAGCGTGGCCACAACCAATATCCAAAAAGTCCTATCGTGAGTTCTTTGGGCCTTAAAACAAAGCACCACTTCCAGCAATGCATCGCAATTGTGGTTTCACGCCTTGGCTGTTTTAACCTCCTTCCTGAACCACCTGAGGACCCTGGCCCATTGCGCTCTCCACGGTTCACCCACTTCGCCATAAGCGCCTGCCATTGACGCTTTTTGACAGGTCGATTGGTCGAAGGCGACATGACCTGAAACGACCTGAAACCTCATATAGGAATGGCCTCCAACCTAATAGGGGGATTTATCAGTTACAAAGCACCTGGATGAGATTCTTCAGCTGGAGGAAAGACGTTCTTTGGTCAAAGCAATACACCTCCCTTGTACTCTTGAAGTAACAAAATATTCCGTACCACCCCAAATGCAAGATACCCGACTATGTGAAAAATATTGTCAATAGAAGCCCACCCAGTTTCTTCTTGTCCGAATTTTGAGTGATGGGATGGAATCTTGACCTAGCACCGAAAAGGGTCCTTTGCAAAGCTAGAACTTCTGGAAGAAGCTGTCGCCCACCCTGTCCGGTTCCAAATGCTTGGAAGTTTTGATCCATTCGTGCTCGCACAAACTCAGGACCAAGTGTCTGTCTTTCAGGTAAGCATCAGTTGAGTTTTGATCACTGGTTTAAAACTTGCCCTCTCTTATTCACAGTTTGCAGTTCTTAGTGAGACGAAGTTCACTCAATCACCTCAGCCTGAATGATGAAAGTGATTACCTTGGACGTGCTCCAGTGTTTGAGGCACAAGTGATGGGCTTTGCCATCGTCGCGCCACTTGAGGAAAATGTACAGTAGATGTCGGCGCATTTCTCGAAAGAATAGTTGATAGATACTCATATATATATATATATATGATTGTAACACTATCCTCAGTCTTCATAAACAAAAATACAGATAAAATACACCATCTTGCTTTCCAATGGACCTGCCTCCCGCCGTGCACGGCTTTCTTGGACCTTCCGGTCCTCAGCTGGCGTCGAAGCTGGCACTTCAATTCAAGAAAAGGCAAGAGATAGAGAAAGAAGGTAAGGGCCGGTAGGGGCCCTCACCTTCTTTTTGTCTTCTCTTTCTTCCATGGAAACCTGAAAGATCAATACCTTGCGGCCTTAGCTGGTTAAGTCCGGCGCCTAGGCCAGACTTGTTCCAGAAAGAATTGAAGTAGAAACAGCACTTGGCGCTTCCGTTTCTATATGGTTGGATGTCGCAACCTGGACAAGGGAAAGCAGCCGTGCTTTGGTCGAAAAAATGAGTCTATTTCCCCACATTGTGTTGTGGGGCTTTTGTTGTTCTTGCTGCATCCTCCGTCCTTCTTCCTTCATCCCGTCCTCCTCCTCTGCCTCCTCCTCATCATCCTCCTCATCCATCATCATCTTCACTCAATGACTTCATCATTCATCATTCATCATCATCATCATCATCATCATCATCATCCATCATCATCATCATCCTCATCAATATCATCATCATCATCACCATCAACATCATCGTCATCATCATCAACACATCAACACACAACACACAACACAATGTGGGAAAGACGGCTTCTGTGACACCTAGGGAGCTCCTCAGGCTTGATCCGTGTGACAGGCGTGGCACTTTCAGTACTCTCATAGAGGTATGCGGAAGCTTGGCGACGAGCCTGTCCTGTGTGGACGCCGCCTCGTTTTGTGTGGCAGGTGCAGTCCCAAATCTGAGCCGTCTCGTCTCCAGCGTAGAATCTTCCGCCTCCCATGTTTCCACCTCGGACCATAGCGCCATCCATTCTCCAGGATGACTACCTTCGGCTATCAGAGCCTCTCGGGTTGGTGGCGCAGATGAACCCCTAGCCGACGCCGATGGCTTGTGGGCCTCCTGCATAGCCCTTGGGACCCCCATATCCTTGGCTAGCTGCTCAAAGAGCTCTTGATCGCGCGCGGTCAAGTCCTCCAGCGTGATCTGCTCCTGGTCGTCCTTGTCGAACTCTCTCAATTGGGAGTTGAGCGCTCCACCTGCATGAAACTCGCCATCGAAGCATTGCTCGCTGCCCTGCTGCCCATGCGCTTGCCCCAGCATGGCCTGTCGAAGATGCTCCAATTTTTTTGTCTTCGGACTCCAGATGACCGATGACCGTCTTCTCCGTCTACTCGGCGCAAAGGGCTGAGCACCCCGTGGGTTCAGGCTCGGAGTTGTCTGACGAGCCAAAAAACTCCATCAATACACTGTTGATCCCACTCAAGCTGCAAGCCTCTTGTCCGGCTTGCAAGCGAAAGTCCGAAGGTATCTCGTGTCTCTCACTCCCGAATTCGGGAATGTCCATAACATAGTGGCGCTAGAGGCTTGCCTCAACCCATAGTTCTTGACCCCCAACTTCTTCGAAGCCAACACATTACAAGATGCTCAGTCAAAATGAATAGTTAGGCAACGTGGCCTCAAATTCAACGCCATGTATTGACTTGCAAAGTGTCCCCACTTCCAAAACGAAACACTTCCTTCTCCTTGCGCACCTTGAACCATGCAACGACCCTGCTGTTGCCACATGTGAAGGAGTTGGTTCATCCAAGTAGTCCCCGCAACCGACTTGAGGCATCTAATGTCCAAAATGACTGCTGTCGCTAACTCCTTCACACACCACAGGACTTCATGGTCGCTCAATCGACCGAAGTCCCCCGACCCACAAGGCAGCGTCATGTGCTCGCGTGGTCATCCCACTCAGGGTGGAGGCCAGGCCCAACAGTTGCGTCCGATAGGTGATGTAGCTCTCCACGAACTCGCCGGCGTAGCGAGTGAGGGCCATCAATTTCTTCCGCTGTTAATCAACGCGGTGCCCGTCCAACTGCCGAACCAAGAACTCCTCTCCAAGACCTCGAAGATCCGCTCCTTGCCACCCATCTTGTTCACATCGCTGTTGTTCAGGCGCTTCACCAACTGGCATGCTCGATCACGAAGTTGCACCATGATGCGAGGGCCAATGATTTCCTCCACGATCTGATTCCCCTCCTCCGAACCAGAACTCCATGCCCGGCCCTGAAGATCGTGAGCTGCTGACCTTTCCTCTGTAACAGATTTTCCTTCTTCACCTGGACCCTCGGTAGGTGCTTCCCAACAGAGGAGACCTCCCCTGATGGCAGGTTGCCATAACGGCCGAAGCCCGCCGCTCGAGGCGACGCTGGCGATCTTGAGGTGGTCCATGAGCCGGCATCCTGTCCTTGGCCTTGATCGTCGCCCCACGATGTCCTCCAAAAAGAGGCCCTCGTCCTTGTACCTGCTCTCAAGGCCAGCTCCAATTCTCCCTCCACGTAGCTTAGCTTCCTGCATCAGAACTCCTCCCATCCCAAGACCATTTTTCGGCCCATGCCAACTTCTCCGCCAAGAAGTCTTCGATCAAGTCCACGCAGGCTCGAATCCCAGGCCGCTGCTGCCTCCGTCCCCGCTGGCCTCCAATCTCACTCGGAGTACGCACCATTGGGTTCCAACCACGGGGCTCAAGAAGAAACCCACCAATTAAAGGCGAAGCCTCGCCGCCAGCTCCGTAGCCGGGTCGAGTGCTACCCCGGCCCCTAGACCAAACCGAGGCTGAAATGTGGCCCCGCGCGTGAAGGGGGGATGGTTTCTAAATCCGCCCACACCGCTTGTCGGTGCAGGGCGTGCTTTGGGGCTCTTGAGCTCTGCATTTTAGCAAAAACATCCTATGCATATAGCTCTGCTAGGGGGGACATCTTTTTCGCGCGCGCGCGTGGCTATGGTTGCCCCGCAGGGCCACTAGGGAGAGCATTTTGGAGGCACATCTTTGGATGATTTTTCGTTACGTCGTGCTTGCAGGGCCACTGGGGAGAGCGTTTTGGAGGAGTTTTTGTGTTTTGGGGTGGTCGCTGCGTTGATTCTTGCTCGGCTGCAGGGCCACTGAGGACAGCGTTTTCGAGGTGTATTTTCGGATGGCGTTTGGCAATGCCGAAGTTGTATCACCATTGGGCCTCAAGGTAGACGAAGTTGGCCCCAAGATGGCTCCAACGCAGCCATAAGACAGCCAACCTGGCGCCTAGATGGCTGCACTTGCCCCCCCATTTGGAGCCAAAATCCGCCCACACCGCTTGTCGGTGCAGGGCATGCTTTGGGGGTCTTGGGCTCTGCACTTTTGCAAAAACATCCTATGCATATAGCTCTGCTACGGGGGGGACCTTTTTTTTCGTCTAATTCAAGACGCTTCGCGTCGACAGCCGCCCACACCGCGCACGAACTTACGGCTGCGTTGGAGCCATCTTGGGGCCAACTTCGTCTACCTTGGGGCCCATTGCCAAAAGCCATCCAAAAATACACCTCCAAAACGCTGTCCCCAGTGGCCCCGCAGCCGAGCAAGAATCAACGCAGCGACCACCCCAAAACACAAAAACTCCTCCAAAACGCTCCCCTCAGTGGCCCTGCAGCTCAACCATAGCCACATCAGACTCTGACCCTTTTTGTCAGCTCCCCCAAAGTTGAATGAAATGTCATTTTCGGTTCGGGTCTCGATCACTGCAACAAGAAGAACATGAATAGCCAACACAAAAGAGAACTGGGACTAAGATGCTGGAACCTTTTCTTCCATATTTTTCATCTACTGGAACCGTCATCGGGGTACTCTTCATGCAGCTAAGTTGCTGCATCTTCATCGTCTTCCACGGCAACTGTCCCGTGGGGCACTTCTCCCTCAGTCGACCGACACTCTGATCAAGGCAGTACTTTTCTTTTGGAAGGATCTCAGCTTGCCAGGTGTGGAATGAAAATATGGATTGCTGATAATTGTTTTACACTCGGAACCACTGGACTTGTCAATCTGAAGTGTCCAGATTCGACAGAGAACCAAAAGACCTGCACCTGGATGTTTTTACATGTAAGCTCATAAAGGCATGTAAAGGCTACAATAAACCGTTGTAGCGTCAACCAAAAGTGCCTAACAGCGACTCACCAGTGGCCCACATTCTTGGGCAATACCATTGCTCCGAGCGGGCATTTTGTCCAAGCTCTAAGTTGAAATGTTTCGGGTAAGCTCCAAGCTGAGACTGGCCAAGTCCAATCCATCCAGGTCGAGTCTTCATATCCAGTGCAGCTGTGCCAGGCCCTCCCGCATCACTTTCAGCGTCCGCAGGGACCCTTTCCATCTCCTGTGGGGGGAATAAGACTCGGCAAATCACCACTCAAATACGAGCCGACGAGTAAGTTACAGTACTCTAAGCTGAGCCAAGTGAAAAAGGCTAAGGATTTCTGGAGATGAGAAAATACATTACTGTACTGAGCTGTATATACCAGGGCGTGCTGTCTTGATGAAAAAGGGAAAGCGGCTTTGAGGTATTCCATTGCGCAGATTATTGTGACCTTTGGGAGTAGTCTGATGATTCCAGCCAAATGGCCAGGTTGTCTTGAAAAATATCAAGAACTGCCTTTCTGTCCATGAACTGTTGTGTACATGATGTCTGACCGCTGCATCTCAAGCAAATGTCTCATCCTCTGAAAAGTTGAGAAGCATAGGACTGGGAGCACATGTTTCAAAATAGGAGGATCCTCTCTGCTGTTGCTCTTACCAAAAGCACCTCCACATATCAAGCTCCATCTGAGGCCACCGTCCCAAAGCGCCTCACGCCAGGCTGCCTTCGTCTTCTCCCCGGCACTATGGGCGCTGTCCTGCTCTTGGAAGATGTGGCTCTGCTTAAATTGAACCACTAGTGAGATTGAGTTTGAGATGCACCCACATGCATCGGGGACAAGTTTGCGCTGGAAATTTGCACAGCAGTTCTTGCTTTCCCCTGGTGCAACAATGCGATGTCTGCTAAGCGAAGGTAGATGAGCAACAAAACCACGGCCCACATACCCCACACGGTGCCGAATATCCCAAGTTGTGGCTGCAAAAACCAAAGTAAGCAAAACTGCGCACTCAAACCTTCTATTTCCAAAGGTTTTCTGCCAGGCTCTTTAGGAGGGCTCGCCCATCGAAGTGCGATCCCCCATCTGGTCCTTCCGCCCAAGGACGGCCTCTGGCCCTGCTTCGGCCTGGGGAAGGTGGCGGAGTCTAAACGAGTCTGAGCCAAAACACGCTCAACCCTCCGAAGAATGGAGGTGTCATTGGTGTTCCCGTCTTTCATTTAAGTGCTTGAACTAGCCTCGAACCTTCAGACCTCGGGCATACCATCTCCCACGGCGCTCTCCGTCGGTGCCTTTGTCGGCTCTGGAGCTTCCTGGCCGCTCAATCATGTGTTGAAGCACTCTTGAGGATAACTGCTGGGGTTGGCACAAAAGCTCACTTGTGATCAGTCTTACATGCTCGAATTGGTCACAGCCGTAAAGGCCGGCAGACTCTGACTTCGAGGTAGACTCGAAGTCATTTTACCTCGCAAAACGGTGTTCGTCGACATCCATGGTCCCTTTCACGGCAGTTTGCCGTGTTGAGTGTTTTGGAACAACGATCAGGTGATCCCCAACTCACGAACCCAAATCTATCTGGCAATAATCCCGTGTGCAATCCCCAACTGGCTCCGTCAGTCCAGTTCGTTGTTCCCGAGCCCTGTAACCTTAGAGTTGGAACCGCCCACAATATGGAAGCACTTTCCAGAACCCCCCAAATGCCCTAGAGCCAGCTCCAAACGCTGACTTGGAACTCCACTTCATGGAACCGAGTGCAAGTTGATGATTCCCACCTTCCTCCATGAAACCAACACCTAGGAGCTTCGAACCTGTTATGGAACCTCAAGTTCTCAGATCGGTTCAGGCTACCCTCGGAACCCGTTTGCCGAAGCTGTTCAAGCATTCTTTGTTTCTGGGTTGGAAAAGTAAAACATACAAGCAAAAGACTTCAGAGGTCTGGGCGGCAGCTTTGGCAATACATCCACTGTCAAGTGTGCAACAAATCCTAGCTGGTATAGCAACCACCTTCAGACCATTCAGACTCATCCCAATTAGTCTGGACATTCGAAATAGTACAGTACATACATACCTCAAACCAAAACCGCCCTGAACCCAACCTGCAATCATTCCCCGCCTCTACGTCCCTGCTGCGAGACCGCCTCGCCTGCTTTCGGGACCTCAGCCGAAAGTGGAGGGCCAGCTGGCTACTGGCTAGGGGGGGTGGTTGGGTGGCTTAGGTGCCTGGTTGGGGTAGCTTGACTGTTGTTCAACCCGGTGTCATGACAGAAAGTATGCAAAGTCTATGGTGGTCAGCTATGCAAGAAGAATGGAATCCTACGTTCAAAGATATATGTATGTGTGTTCTCGCTTCACTCTTCAATGATTAGGCTCTTCGGGTAGCAAAATGTGACCTCAAAGAAAGTCCAAGGGAGTTGATCCTACAGGGTTGTTTGGAAGTCGCTGTTGTCTGGAAATCGTCCAAGTCCGGAGGAGGGGCCAGAGCTTTAGATTCACTTCGAAAATGTTCCTAAAATTGATCTATATAAAATGCTGTGCTTGTTCACATGAAACCTGCAGGCTACGCCATTCAAGCATGGGTCGGCCCCGGATCTTGCTGGGAGGGTGCATGATGCATCTAGGCCCAGGCAGAGAATGACACGAAATCCAACATACATGCTTGAAGCTTGACATCCGCAAACATCCATAGTCTATTGTCTTTTATAGAGTTCACCAGCGTCCGAGGTTCAGCAGGGTCAACATTGTGGTGGGGTCATTGAGGCTTGAGCGCTTTCCCAAAGAATGCCCCACATGGTCATGGCATCATCCCCCATGCTTCCGCAAAGATCTCAAACATTGTCTATCGGAGGATGCTCGCCTGGGTTCTTGCAGGTTTCGGTAGATCTCGGAGGAATTCTTGCATTTTCCACTGATCATGTCGGCAAAAAATCTACAGGTGGTCCACCTTCGGCCGATCGGACATGTGCACGCATTCTTCGACCAAGCCGCCGCTCATCATCACGAGCCTTTTTCTCCTTCTTCTCCTTCTTGCCTCAACCAGTGCTGCCAGTGTTTCTGAAGCAAGCACTCTTGTCCGCAGTCCCGGGTAGTTCGTTACGGTACCTGCGTTTTGCACAGTGGACGGAAGAGAGAAGGGGAGAGCAGGAGCACACGGAGACGGAGAGCGAGAGCAAGAGCGAAAATGCAAGAGAGGGAGAGGGAGGGCGGGGCGAAAAGAATAAGAAACAAACGAGCAAAAAAAGGAGCACAGTGCTACAGCATGAATCAACGCAAAAAAAGCTAGGCCTTGGGGGTGTAAACGCTAGGCCGGGGTGCGCCCATCTTTATCCTGCGGTGACCGCAAACCGTCTTAATCATGCTACAATACACTCCACGAATGCATCATGAGTAACTTGATTGAAACCTGGATGTTTCACATCACGGACTTGTCGCAATCCATGGACTTGCTGTTCCTGCTGGCATGTCAAAACAATACTGAGACTGGGAGTCAATTCTTCCTCAAGGCTCTCAACCCGCACGGCTCACCATCCAATGATTGTTGTTGGCCATAGCTGCATTGTATCACCCGTGAAAACCGCTGGCAAAGATTTCTGGAAAGTGCTGAAGAGGGGATGAAAAAAGGAGAGGAGCCAACAGAAGCGGGTCACATCCAGACCCCACCGCCCGCGCCTTTGTGCCGCTTCTCCTCCCGGCCGGCACTCCGACCTGGCTTATGCGTCGCACGGGCATCGCATCGCTTGGCACAGCGACCTCACACCCATCACAGAGCTCAGGGTGAAGTTTGCCAAACATGGCAAGAGGTTGCTGACCTGGGATCTCCAAGAAATTGGGAGTACGGGGTCAATGGCAGGTTGTGAAACGGACAACTCAGATATAGGCACACCATCTTGAAGTGCGACGGGCTTTAATTGGGCAACAGAGGTTTGGGGAGGCCTTAAATCCAAATGCCTGTACGGGCTTTCGTCGCTAGTATTCTTTTGGTAAAGAGTACTTTGAGACAACTCGAGCTTCGATGCACCTCGGCTATTCGAAGGTCGTCGCCGCTTCGTCTCTCCGTACCTCAGTCTGCCACAGGGCAAACACCTTTGATGGCCGACTTCAGTTTCAGAATCATACAAACGGCTGGTTTCCATTTCAGGAGACACCCAGGATGGTATCTCCGATCCACAAAAAAGTTATTTCGAACCCAAGTGAAACAGAGATCATATGTCTCTCCATGGCCACATGGCGTTTCCCGACCTTTGTACGTCCCTGGGAACAAGTCTCACACCGCACCCAGCCTGTCCACGGGTGTGTCACAATGCAGCAAAGTCGTGATTTGAGGAATTTGTCTGTTCAGAGTTGAAGGACAGGCCTCGACCTCGACCATTTCTCAAGCAGCATAAAACATGGGCAGATCCTTGCTGCGTAATGACCCAATGGGTGATGTCTTTAGACTTCATCAAGACACCGGAGTACAAAATGGAGCCTCATAGGTGGTCATGATGGATGGAAGAGGGACCCACTACGTTTTCTGCTAAATAAGCGGCTCTGAAACTGGACCTGGACTGGATCTGTTTAGGTCACCTATGATGTCACAACTTCAATATCTTGGAACAAGTCTACAAGAGTCTACCTCAAAGTCCTGCTGAAGAAAGGGTTGTTCGTTTGGCGCCCAGACCCAGGCATTGCTCGAAGAATCTGAGTTGGAGTGAAGCAGCGAAGAGTGGCGACCTGGCAACAGCAGGACCATGAGGCGTCCAAAGCTGTGTTGTGACCACAAAGCCCTTGCTGACGAAGGCACCGATTGTGTCCATCCAAAAACGTCAAATATAAATCCTCGTTGGAATGCCCTTCCTTTGGGCGATATGCAAGCGACTGACCCCGGTGACACATGCTCTATATCTGCTCTGAAGGAGCACTACCTGCTGTCTAGTCAACAATTGCAATGCGAGAAAACTAGCACAAAACTGATTTTGAACCAAGAACTGCCATGTTTAGACTTACCAACAGCAACCGGCATGCCACATCATTCCTCCCTCTCAATCTGCAAAATCTGCGAATCGATGGGCAACATGTAAGGCCTCTGCTAAACTGGAAGCTAGCAGGTGTTAGACCCAAACCGGCAAAAAGGTTGCCAAGCAAAGCTTGCACGTCCACCCAAACATCCACCCCTCCCCGCGGGTTCTCATCCTCAGCGCGCCTACCGTCGCAGCATCCAGATCCAAGTGTTGAAAAAAAACAACCGCAAGTAAGTGTTGGTAGCTGATCAGAATCTAACGTCAAGTCAGATCGTTTGAAACGTCTATTCTGGCCCGTTCCGTGTCGATAAATTCTACACTATACACTGAGCCAACACTGACAGTATCACTGCAAATGTCAAAGTGTCACCCACCACCAAAAAATCCACTAGCAGTAGCATGGTTTTGATTTTTTTCAGGGGTGCACCTGTTGAATATTGATCCTGGGGCAAGTTGTGGGCATTTGTTGGATCAATTGTTGCAATTCCTTACCGTTGCGTCCCCAAACTTGCCACCTTGACCTGCATCCAACCAAGTGATTTGCAAACATGTCTTTCGTCTACTTAGTGCACAACATGTCAAAACACACAGCAAATCACAAAATACTTGCATCGCCCCTCGTTATGTGGATGGTGAAAAACGTCAGACGGACAAGCACCAGTCCAAAGAATCCAGCAGCTCCAACCGAAACACATTGCGTCTTTCTGTTTGGATAGTGAAAGTTTTGAAACACACACGTTGCGGCAATACGTGGGTGTTTTTCCATCACAAGATTCCCTAATCAACTGTGTGTCCTATTGGGTCGACAAAACCAATACGCCGCCTCAAAATTGTGCCGAATCCAATCGATTGTTGCTCCACACAACAAGCACCACAATCTGCCGTGGAAAAGGTGCCTTTGCTTTGTATCCACACCAAAAATGTCCCTTTCGGCACATTGCGATTCACAATGTTTGCCGCAAATTCTTGTTGCACAACTGTCACAAAGAAAATGTTGTTGCACATCGTGGTGCTGCACCAGTGCAGTGAGTGCGTGCTTTGTGCAAGTTGATTTTCACATTCTGCAAACACATGGACAAGCGTCAAGACTTCTTTTTCAGCCACAGACTTGTGGAGACGCAATGCATGTGCAAAAGTTGCAAGTGCAAGTGGAAAAAATGTTGTACACCAAAAAGAACGCGCCATTGAATGCAAAGTTTTGTTGGACATTTCTCGACATGCAATTTGTTCTCACATCACACCTTTCTGCTGGCACATCTTTTGGACTTGGGCTTCGCCCACGTCCGAAATGCGCGCATGCCCCATCAAAGCCACTGCAGTCTGTTGTGTGTGTGTGTGTGTCTGTGTGTGTGTGTCAACCCCCGTATCCAGGGGCACTGAATTTTCATTGTGCAGTTTCCACGCACGGGGCCTGGCAGCTGTTTCCCTAGCCATGCCAACGAAGCTATGGGATTCAGCCGGAAGGGAATGTGGACGCACATTCCTGTACCTGCGACCGAAACTGTTTTCCACGC